AAGCATTCACTCCTACACACACACACACACACACACACACACACACACACACACACACACACACACACACACACACACGTATACAGAGGCTTTTAAGGACATGTTTTCACTACGTGAAACCTATGTTGGCCTAGAATATGTAATCTAAGTTCATATAGAATTTGATTTTTTGCCTCCTCTGACTGATTGCTAGAATTACAGCTGTGTGCCACCACACCTGGCTCACCAATCATAGGTTTAAATCTTCAATATCTATTCCTGTCTTTTGGGTGTATTCAAATTCAGAAGGGACTCCAAAGAACCTCCTTCTCTGGTGTGGATTATATGGCTAGAGTCACTGCATTTTAACAAAAATAGGTATCTGCTATAAAGTTAACAAGATGACACCTGTGTGTTTAAGTACCACACTTTAGATTAACAACAATTCTTTAAATCATGCTTAACAAAGTTTTCTATGTCATACCTCACTTAGGGTCCTGTTTCTGTCGAAAGTGATAGTCACATAATCAACTGTAAAGTACACAAGTGAAGAAAATATGAATAACGTTGATTTAGGAAGTGTTAGTGTTAATAAAGTTGCCTACATAAAACAATGCCAGTTCTGAGCTGGGCATTGGTGGCGTATGCCTTTAATCCCAGCATTTGGGAGGCAGAGACAGGTGGATCTCTGTGAGTTCGAGGCCAGTCTGGTCTCCAGAATGAGGGGCCAGGATAGGCTCCAAAAGCTACACAGAGAAACCCTGTCTCGAAAAACCAATACTACTACTACTACTACTACTACTAATAATAATAATAATAATAATAATAATAATAATGCCAGTTCTGTACCATCTACTAATGTGTCTTTGGACACAATTCTCTTGCATTTAAGCAGGAGTGTCACTCCCATTCCTTTTTAGAAAAACTGTTAAGTATGTGGTTCAGGGTAGCCTCAAGCCAGCAGTGTTCCTGTTTCTGCCTGCTGAGTGTTAAAGAAATACCAAGTATATACCACTACTGAGCCTGGCTTTCTCAGTTTTAGCTCATTAATTCATATATAATAGTAATTTCACATTTTATTCAATTTTGATTTTAATGCATTTAATTGAATCTATATATTTAACCAATAGTGATAAAATCTGCTAACATTTCTTAAAATTTACCTTCAAAATTTTCTCTGTTTGCAAAACATCTTTCATTATACCACAGTTTTCCTTTGATATAGTCAACCTATATAAATATATAAATGAAAGTGTCAGCTGGGTCATATCTGGAGTTAAGATTTTAAATAGAAAGAAACTTACTTTAAAAATTCCAAAGTTTTGATCACTTGTGGATGTGAGGCAAATAAAGATAGAAACCCTATACACATGTAAGAGGTTGCAGAATGGGTCAAGAAACCGGAATGCACAAGGTCAACAGTCACCAAGAATGGACTACCAAGGCATGATTGTGTTCTTGGTTATGGTGTCTTTCTAACCCCCAGAAGCTCCTTAACCCTTTTCACCACAGTTAGAATGGGACATAGGCTTATTTTTCTATTCAACATTTGCTACAACAGGGCATAAGAAACCTGAACAGAAGCCTGATAATGGCAAGTAGTAGCAATGCAAAGCATTGCAAACTGGCCAAAAAGAGAAGAGGCCAACAAAGTAGATTATTTTTGTTGAACATGAACTATAATGAGATGAGAAGGTTTGCTAGGGGAAGATTTTCACTTTCCAGCTGCTATTGAGACAAGAAAACACTTATACTTTTATAGATAGGTCAGTGATAAAATCAATAGAACTTATTCATGGAAACATTTAAATAGTCCTAAAATTGACCTTGGTGGTGGCTTATAGAAAATACAATAGGGCTGAACATATTGAAAAAATAAAGGTAGACAATGTGAATTGTACCTTGATTAAACACTAAGCAAAGAAAAAGACTTTTTAAGAGTCATGGCCCATGACTTTTTAATTATGCTACATCATCACTCAAATTAAGCTGTTAAAATAAAGATTTTGAGTTTGTATAAAAGCCTCCAGGTTACAGGTTACCATAATTATCACTATGAAACTGGGAAATTTTAATATTGATACTTTTGGGACACTGAATTGAATTACGCCTCTTCCTTCTGTTTAGATTATTCCTTCATTGTTATTTTTTTTCTTTTTGTGACATGAATCCAAACTGAAAGAGCCAAGTGACTGTCCTTAGGATGATGTCACTTCTAGGAGGCTGATCTCATGTCAAGGGTGAGTCCAGAATGCTGTCCTGACCTGAGTCACAGGTGAGGAGGAACACCTGACTTACATCACATGAGCAATGAAAGCCACCCTTAGAGAGGATGCAAAGCTTTTATTCCTTTTGCCATAGCCAAAAAGGTGGCGACAAGCCTGGCAGCTGTTCTTACCAATGGCTGGATAGCAGCCACTTAGAAAACGCTAGTATAAAGGACAGCACAGCCAAATTTGAGGACAGAGCCCCATGGATATCTGCTATTCAAGGGAATCCAGCCAATCAGGAAGGCAGACTCACCCTTTAAATTCCACGATTTAAAATCCAACAGCTTCCTCTCTTTTCCTGAAATCAGTTCTAATTTGGTTTCTGTTGTTTGTCTTTGGAGGATATTTGGAGGCAAGCTTAGGAAGAGGAGGTTGACTCCTTTCCTAATTTGAAGGACACTGGATAGGTGAGATCAGTGACCTTACAAGAGAGAATGCAACTCCACCTGTTCTGCTAAGTAGGGAAACAGGGAGGAGACAGCTCTGTGTGTGTGTGTGTGTGTGTGTGTGTGTGTGTGTGTGTGTGTATACCAGGAAGTGGGCCCTAACCAGACACTGAATCAGCCAGTCACTGCTCATTGCTGTTTCCTCAACTACTTACCTTCTACTTAATTGAAACACTCATTCTCATTCATGTCTTTTGTTCTGGACTTAGATTCTCTTTTGTCAATAGTCTCTAGATGCTGATTTCACTGTCTTTGAGGGTCAGAGATTCTTTTAATGGAATCTAACAGGGAGGCACATTTTACTTTTGTTCTCCTCTGTAGAAACATGAGGCAAGGTTTCCTAGGGGACAGAATCAATATCACACACAGAGAAGGCAATTTATTGCATTGGTGTTTACAGTCAGAGACTATTTGTCCCCATCGACTCCACATTTTAGAGAGCTAGAAAATCAGTTGCTTCTCAGGCCAAGAAGTAGGAAGTCAAAAGATATGGGACCAATTAATTACCCAACCTGAATCCTAGGAGAAGACCTGAAAGCATCCAGGGAGTTGTTGACGAAAGTCCATGTTCATAGGTGAAGACTCTGCTGTCTGATGGTCTTCTATATTCATTGGCATCAGAAAAAAATTGCACAAACACCTGCTCCTCACCCAGCAGAGTTCAGCCTGTCCTCCTGTGCACTTGTCCTCCTACCTTTTAGTTCACCCCAGGCTGCTGGCAGTTCTAGCCCTGCCTTCTGGGTGGGTTCCCCCTCCTAGGAACTGTATGCAAAACTCAGGAAACACCCTCACAGATATGTTTCCATGGTGTGCATTACCATGGTGTGCTTTAGGAATCCATCAAATCAGTCAAGTTGACAACCAAAACCAACTATCACAGGAACCTTGTGTACTATTTAGGGGCATTACTAGAACTTGCGTATATGTGCTTTCTTCCCCCTGGAGCTTGCCATAATGTTTTTTAAAGACATGATCTCATGTCACCTAGGACGGCCTTTAACTTGCTATGAAGATGACCTGGTACTTCTGATCCTCTTGTCTGCACCTCCTGAGTGCTGGGGTCACAGTTGTGCGTAATCATGCCTAATATATGAAGTGCTGGTGATGGAACCCAGGGTATGTTCTACCATCTGGTCTAGATCCCTAGATTATTTTCTATATTAGTACAACTGTAAGTTATTTTATTGCTTTTCACTTTCTTTTCTTTCTGAGAATTCTTTTTTCTCTCCCATGGTAAACTGTTAATGTCTCTGTCCAACAATGCCTACTGGGTGCAGACTTTAGAGTGACTCTGTCACCATGTCAGTGTGTTCTTGTGCCGTCACAAGGATCATGCAGAGATGCAGTCACAGGAAGAAGGAAAACCATTCTGTTGACTTCTACTTGAACATAAAAGAACCAACATAGAGGGAGAAAAAATTTCCAATCTTATTAAAATCCCAGACAGATAAGCACAGGTTTTATGATGGTCTCAGGTGAGAGGGACCTGGTTTCCCTTCTGAGAACTGTATCACTCACCTTGTAGAACTTCTGGGCCTCTTCTTGAAGGATCATCGGTGCCCTGAAATTTCTAGCAATTTCCCCAAACATTTGAAGATGTTTATTCATCTTCAGCTTCTGTGGCACTGGTCTGCATCTAAACAATGGCTATGCCATCTTATTTTACCTTTAATAACAGTTGTGGAATTTAGTCCCAGAAAGTGTTTTATGCTGTGAAAACTCCTAATGCATGTTGGTGCCTTTATTTTATTTTATTTCTTTTTCTTTCTTCTATTTGTTCTTCAATTTTGTTTGTTTGTTTCTTTTGAGACAATGTTTCAGTCCTGGTTGTCCTGGAACACATCATGTAGATCAGCCTGTCATGGAACTCACAGAGATCTTGTATGTCTCTACTTCCCAAGTACTGGGATTGACGGCATGTGCCACCATGCCCTGCTTTCTTTTTTCTTTTACTAGCTCAGTGTCAATAACAATAAGCATGGTAGCAGCTCAGCGTATGTCTATGGTTTTATTAGCTAAATTTTGTTACATTGGTACAGCTGCTTTGTTCACCACTAGCATTCTTGAACATCTTGTGATTTTAATGAATGTGTTTTATTGGGATCCCAGGTAATGTCAGACATATTTTTGAAGGAGCACTCAAGAGTGCTTTTCAGAATACATTAGTTTCTAGCAATGCCTGAATGAGAGGAGACCATGCTCTGTACTCCTCTTTGTTGCTGCTTTCATACATTGGAAGTTCATCATGGAAAGCCTTCTTTCCCTGAAGCTGCCCTTGATCCTGTCACCTCAGGCTTCCCCTTCTATCAGCCTTCTCTCTGGTCTCTCATAGCCTTGCCTCTCCCACTGATGAGAAAAACCATTTGATAGTTCCTGGAGTTCTGATGGTAAGCTCTCTATGCAGGACCCTCTACTTGCCTTTCCTTTGCTGCCCTCTGTTGCCAGAAGCCATGATCTCATTACTCGAGTCCATATTCTACTGTTTAATCAGAGTACCCTGAGTTTGGGAAAATAATTTCTATACTCCATTTCAGTAAAGCCACAAGTAAATGTTTCTATACATTCAATACATTGATGTTGCTGGGAATTGAACCCAGAGCCTGAGCATGCAAGACAAAGGCTCTAACATTGAGCTACATTTCTAGCACACTAACATTTGTGATTGGCAGTTGGCTGGTTTGGAGCATGTGAATTTGAGATAAATGATAAACTATTTCCATTTGTTCTTCCCATCATTTATTTGTATTCTCTCTTGATTTCCCAGTAATCTGTTTCACTTGTCCTCCCACAAGTACTTTGGTACTACAATTAGTTCTATTTGGTTCCTGAGAAGTAAGTGTGGTTTCTTCCTTGTAGTGACTGTGTTCAACACAGGACAGAATGGAAGGGGATATGCCAAGGCCTGAGAATGAATGAATGTAATTTTCTTTAGTCATATATTATTTATGATTTATTAAAGCTTACCTGAGTTTCAGAAAGCAATGTCAGCCACAAGGAATAGAGCCTATTCACACACTTTTAATCCTAGCAGCCAGAATCTAGGAGGTAGTGGTACATACCTTTAATCCTAGGACTAAGAATTAAGAGGTAGATGGAGCTCTCTGATTTCAAAGCCACCCAAGGGTACATGAGAATGAATTAGTCTAAAAGAGTAACAGATCATATGCCATTAATCCCAGCACTAGAGGGGAATAAATGATAGAAGCAGGGTCTTCAGTATTCAGTATGGAACATTCATTCTCCAGCCACAGTTAGGAGAGACAGCAGGGTCAGCCCACTCAGGCTGAGGTAAGAAGCTAGTGGCCAGATGCTCTGATATACAGCTTGAAGTTTGAACCCCAATATCAGTCTCTGGGTCTTTTATGTATTTCTGTTACAATTTTCCTTGCAGTTTCAAAAGTGAAAAATGCATGCTATGTGTTGAAATGGCCTTGTTGGATTGGGGTTGCTCAGGGACCCCGGACTGATAGCTGGAAAACCAGCATAGGACTGATCCAGACCTCCTGAATAAGGATGTCAGTTTGGAGGTCTGGGCAATCTATGGAGCCTCTCTGGTAGTGGATCAGTATTTATTCCTAGAACATGGATGGCCTTTGGGAGCCCACTCCATATCGAGGGATACTTTCTCAGCCCAGACACACGAGGGAGGGTCTAGGCCCAGCTCCAAATGATATGACAGACTTTGAAGATCCCCCATGGAAGGTGTCACCCTCACTGGGGAGCAGGAAGGAGTTAGGATAGGGGGTAGGGTGGACAGGAGAGGAGGAGAGGGAGAGGGAACTGGGATTGGCATGTGAAAGAAGCTTGTTTCGAATTTAAAGTTGGCCTAATTACAATTATAAAAATAATTTTTTGCAGATTTTTATTTGAACTAGAAACAAGATAGTTTTACATGTCAATCCAAGTTCCCTCCCCCTCCCCTCTACCCCTCCCATTCCCGCCCCACTAAAACCCTACCTATCACATATCCTTTCTGCTCCCCAGCAAGGGTGAGGCCTTCCATAGGGG